CTCTCTCTCTCTCTCTGATGTCCTGCCTCCCCTCCCTCCCTCCCTGTGTGGCCCCTCTTTCTCTAGCTGCATGGCCGCTCTCGGGAGCAGCGCTACACCAAGCTGGCCGACTGGCAGTACATCAAGCAGTGCGTGGCGGCAGCCAGCCCCATGCCCCTGTTCGGTGGGTCCCCAACTCTCACCTGAGACCCCTCCCTGCCCCAGTGGGGGCTGCTGGGCTGGCAAGAACTCCCCCGGAGCTGGCTTTCCTGCCTGTAGGCAGCTCCCTGAGGCCCTATCTCTGCCCCTCAGGAAACGGGGACATCTTATCCTATGAGGACGCTAACTGCGCCATGCAGACCGGTGTCACTGGAATCATGATTGCCCGGTAGGTGGGCCCGGGGCCTGGGGGTTATCTGGAGCTGCCCCTGGGCCCGGCCTGCAGCTCCGGGAGGGTGAGTGTGTGTCTGAGCTTTGTCCCGTTTGTCACAGTGCCTCAGCCCAATGGCTTGGCCTCCTGGTCCATTTATCCCCAGCGGGTGGCTGTCTGTGCAGAGAGATGGCAGGGCTGCAGCTGGCCGGGGCCGGAGGGACTAGAAATTTCTGCAGCTGTTGGCTTGGGGTGCTGGTTGGGACTCTTGGGCTTCAAGGCTTCTAGAGCAGCTGGAGAGTCTGCAGAGCTGGAGGGACAGGGACTGTGGGTTTGGGGCCTCTGACCACTCCCGGCCCTGCAGTGGTGCCCTGCTCAAGCCGTGGCTGTTCACGGAGATCAAGGAGCAGCGGCACTGGGACATCTCCTCATCCGAGCGCCTGGACATCTTGCGGGACTTCACGAACTACGGCCTGGAACACTGGGGCTCGGACACGCAGGGCGTGGAGAAGACCCGCCGCTTCCTGCTTGAGTGGCTGTCCTTCCTGTGCAGGTGGGTGCGGAGCTGCCGCGGGGCGGGTGTCGGTGAGGCCAGCCTGGCCCACCCTGTCCCCACCTGCCTGCAGGTATGTGCCTGTGGGTCTGCTGGAGCGGCTCCCACAGAGGATCAACGAGCGGCCCCCCTACTACCTGGGCCGAGACTACCTGGAGACGCTCATGGCCAGCCAGAGGGCCGCCGACTGGATCCGCATTAGGTGCCTGGGACCGAGGAGCCGGGGGAGGGGGTGCACGTCCTGGGTCGGGGGGTGCGGCCCAGGCCTGACCCTGCCGCTCCGCCTGCCCTCACAGTGAGATGCTGCTGGGACCTGTGCCACCCAATTTCGTCTTCGTGCCAAAACACAAGGCCAATGCATACAAGTAGCTGCAGGGGTGGGAGGGCATCGGAGGCGCTGTGGCGAGTGAGAAGACAATAAACTTCGTTCTTTTAAAACTCAGGCCTTTCTGTGACCCCGAGGCTGCCCCTTCCCACCCCCGGGAGCTCTCCCTGGACACCTGCCCATCCCTGTCCCTGGCAGCTCCCTTCCTCCCTCCCTCATTCACCAAAGTCGCGCGGCAGGCCACTGCTGATGCCCAGAGAGGCCTTGAACATAAAGGAGCCGCTGGGGCTTCTTGGGGGGAACCATAAAGGGGGAACTTTGGCCTGTGGGGATGTAGATCAGGATGGGCTGCCTGGAGGAAGGGGCCTCAGAGCTATTAGATTGGCATTGCTGGTAAAGGCAGAAGGCAGTGTACTAGGCCCAGGATCTGCCCCACACCGTGACACCTGTCTGTGGCTGCCTTGGTTTCCTCTTCGATCCCTGTCCACCCTCCCCCACCTCCAATACCCGGAATCCTGACCATCGGGCTGGAACCTGCTGCCCGGAGCAACCAGGCAAACAGAACTCTGCACGACCTCTGAGCTGTTCTCTGGGTGGGCTGCCTGTGCTCCCACCTGCCACCCTCTGGGCCTGCCCAGGCTGCCCCCCTCCATGCAGCACCCGAAGCCCTTCTACACTCCTGCAGCCCCCCAAGAAGGTTTCAGCCCTCGGGGCCTGGATGGCACCGAGGGGCCAGGCAGCCAGCCCACTCCTGCCTGCACAGAGCCTCTCCCCACTGTGGGTACGCGTCAGGGAGCAGTGGGGTTGGGTGGGGGTGGGGCCTGCCCACCAGCCTCAGGACCCACTACCAGCCTGCCTTTGTTCACAGGTTCCTCCAACTTGTATCACCCCCCAAACCTGGAGAAAGAGGTGTTTCCAGGCCCCCCAGCAGGTACTGGCCTCCCCCCAACCCTGACTGCACCCGGGAGTGGGTTGGGGGAGGCAGGGCCATCTTGCCTCCACCGTGGCCTCTGAGGCTCCTCGAAGCAGAATTCCCGCCCTTGTTTCCCAAAAGGGCTCCCAGACCAAGGTCTGTGCCCGTCTGACAGGCCTATTGCTCTTGGCCCTCACGGCACCTCAAGCCCAGGCCATGTCCACAGGCCCCGGGTTAGGGCCCCATCTCACTCCCCCTCCCCTGCAGGAGGTTGTAGCCCTGCCCTCTCAGGGCCACCCTCCTGGGCCCGCAGGTTTCCAGATGGCGCCCTGCGGCTGCTTCTTTGACCCCCGCATTTACCGAATCGAGTGGGCCACCACCGACTTTGGCCAGGCGTCCCTGTACAAGCTGGCAGCAGCGGGTGGTGGGGTGCCAGTGGGGGGCCCCAATTCACCCAGCACCTACCTCCTAGAGTCCCAGCACTACCTCAAGGCCCCGGTGCCGCCTCCACCGTACCCCCATTTCCAGCCAGTCCCCGGGGGCCCCCAGTACCTCCTGCCCTACTTCCCCGCTGAGGGGCCCGGGCCTGAGGCCCTGGGCTTTATGGGGGATGGGGGAGCCCCCGCCTTTGTGGAGCTGCCCCCACCCCTGCTCAAGGAAGGCCTGGTGCCCCTGCCACCGCTGCTGCCCTCCCAGGAAAACCAGCTGCCGCCTGTGGTCATCGCACTGCCTGCGGAGGCCGCGCGGCCCCCCGGGGGCTATGGCCGCCTCAAGGGTCGCGTGAGCCAGCTCCACATGCCCGGGGAGTCCCCAGCCTTCCCCGCGAAGGAGCTGCAGGGCAGTGGCCCTGGGCCGGGCCTGCTGTACCCCCCAGGCCCTGGGGGGCCCAAGGCACCCCCGTTGGAGGAGGGAGAGACCAGGTCCCCCGAGGCCGCCAGGGCCTTCGTGCTGCCTGAGAAGGTGCTGCTGGAAGACGCCATGAAGCTCTTCGACTGCCTGCCGGGGGGTGCCGAGCCCGAGGGGTCCCTGCGCAAGGCCCCGGGGCCGGCCCTGCCCGACAGCGGGGGTGGTGGGGATGACTCCTCCAGCGACATCCGCTCGCTGCACCTGCCGGACGAGCTGCTGTCCTTCGACTACAGCGTGCCCGAGATCCTGGACACTGTGTCCAACGTGGACTACTTTTTCAACTTCAAGGCGCTCGATGAGGAGCCACCACCCTGCCCCGGGCCCCCCGCCGTCACCATTGCGGCCCCTGTGCTTCGGGCTGAGCCCCCCAGCAAGAGAAAGTCTGGTGCCTCAGCCACCAAAAAGGGGAGACAAGGAGGCAAGAGTAAGCAGGCCATGGGCCTGGCCGGCGCCCCAGCCCCTGGGACCCAGGCAGGACCTGGGAGCCACCCCCCATTAAAGCGGATTTGATCTCAGCCCAAGGTCTGCTCAGTGCGATGGGGGCAGTAGGCCAGGGGCGGACGTGGAGGGCTTGCCTCTCACCTGCTCTAATGCCCAATGGCCCAAACCAGGAAGGGAGGCCCTGCAGGACCCGCGCCTCCTGGTGCCAGACTTCCAGACCGAGCGAGGAGCCCTGGGCTCGGGGTTCTAAACCCCTCTGTCCGGGTCCTGGAGAAGGCAGGGGGCTTTGCCACCCAGGCGCCTGTGCTGTGAGGAGCCCTCACCAAGTTTGGTGAGGAAAGTCAAGGCTGCCCAGAGACGGCAGGAACCTGCCTGGAGGGAGACAGCAGGGTGGGCCCAGCCCTGCCCTCTGCTGCCCCTTGTGCCATAGTCAGTGGGGGCGTTTGAGGGGGTTTCAGCTGGGCTCCGCCTCAGCCCACCTCCCAAGGGGTGGGTGAGAGGCATGCGGAGGGGCCATGGTTCCTGTGAGGGACCCCGTGCTGGTCCAGGCAGACGTGGAAGCAAGTGCTGGGTGGAGGTGAAAGCACCTGGTGGCCTGAGGGTGGCGGCTGGGCAGGCAGGTGGGAGGTGGAACCCCAAAACAAGCCCCTGTGATGGGGGCCAGCAGAGTGCACCCGGGTGACAGAGACCAGGGTGGGCAAGTCTGTCCCAGGAAGGGCATCCAGCCAGGCCTCGTATGCTGCCTGCCCCTTTGGGTCCCACTCAGAGGCCCTCTATCCCAAGCAGCAGGCACAGGAGAGCCCAGAGTTCGGGTGTCCGTGTCTCACCCCTGCTCCTTCCCACCCCGTCTCCTCCTCGGGCCCATGGAGCTCTTCTCCCCCTTGCCTGCTCCAGGCTCTCCTCAGCCTTTCCCGGGGCAGCTGCAGCCCCAGCCTCTGAAACCCTCAAGGTGAGCCTGAAGGGGCCAACTTGGTTTCCCAGGTAATATATAAGGCAAGCATGGCAAACACAAAGGCTAACACGGGCCAGTAGACAAGGTGTAAGTGTATGTGGGCCACGAAAAAACGAAAGCTTCAGCTTTCATAGGAACGTAGGTTTATTTCGATAGAGACCTGCTGAATACAAAGGGCTGAAATAAATGAGTCATCGTTAACATAAAACAACATTTTAATAAAAATTAATATTTTTCTTGAATATTAACTTACCAGACACTGAATAACTGCACAAATTAATAAGCGTAACACAAGCCTATTTTTCTTATTTCCAAAGTGAAATATTTCCTGTTGCGCACACCAAACAAATCAGTCCAAGACTAATGATGTGGCAATCGGCTGCCAAAATATTCGCTGCTAGTGTTAGTGGAGAGAAATGGTGCACCTGCTCGTAAGGCATGTAAGGGAAATGAAGGCAACACGATTATAGTGATCAGTCAGCAAACGTTGTAGTTCATCATTAATAACTATGTATAACAGGATATTTTAAAAATTAAGTTAATGAAATTTTTATTAAAACGTATTAGAAACGTATTAGAAACCTTATATTGGTTGGGCCACAAAAATACTCATTGTGGGCCACGAGTTTGAGATGCTTGATATAAGGGATCAGGAAGCAAAGGGAGATGGAGGCCTGCTCCCCTCCCCCTGCAGAGAGGCCCTGGGCTGGGTGGGGGAGGTCAGGGGCTTGACTAGAATGAGGAAGTGGCTAGGTACAGGGAGGGTGGACGGGGAGCTGAAGCCTGGTGCCTCCGTGCCCAGCACCACACCACAAGTCCGAGGTGCTTACATGGCTCATCTCCCTAAACCCTTATTCCAAAGCTCAGCGAAGTGGAGACAGTTATGCCCTGGCTGGTTTGGCTCAGTGGATAGTGTCAGCCTATGGACTGAAGGGTCCCAGGTTTGATTCCAGTCAAGGGCACATGCCTGGGTCACGGGCTCGGTCCCCAGTGGGGGGGCGTGCAGGAGGTAGCCGGTCAATGGTTCTCGCTCATCATTGATATCTTTCTCTCTCCCTCTCCCTCTCCCTTTCTCTCTGAAATCAATAAAAATATATTTTAAAAAGAAAGAAGTG